CCCCCCCCCCCCCAATTCTCAGGGTGGTCTGCAAGAAGGCCTTCCCGGTACATTATTTAAACTGTTATGTTTATTCATATCACGTTCTGATCACCACACTCAATATATCCCATATGCATGGGGGTATTGGGACAAAAAGGTTTGCTAGGGTAGATCCTGAGCCCCCCCCCCCCCCCCCGGGCCTGCCTGGGTCTAATAAAGTATCAACGGAATTCAAGACAAAGCAGGGTTTTCCTGCTTTGTCTCAAATTACTTCGCTTTTACCTGAGGCATCATTTGGGTGCCTCAGGTAAAAATCTGACAGGGCCCGGGATACGAGCCCTGTCTGGAAGAGCCCTCAGTGACAGATGAGAGATTTGTGTAATGAAAATATATATTTAAAATTAATACAAAACACACATTTTCATACATTTAATAAGAGTGAAATGACACATTGGATTTAGGTAACTACCCCCCACCAACCTGTATTGTCCTCCAAATCACCCCATCTCACCCCACCCCCATTCTACCTCAATCCTAATTTGGTGCAGAAGGTACACATGCAAGGGAAAAAAAACCCACCAAAATCACTGAGTTTTCCTTTAAAAATACATTAAAGCCCTCAAGCATCCAAAAGAAGTGCTTTCAAAAGCAGTGAACATTTTGTATTCCAGCAGCACCTGCAATGACGTACGGACAAATTGCTTTGCTGGTGAGGATTCAGCCCAAGTGTATGCATTCCAATACCTTTTCTAGAGCATGGAATTGCATTGCAAAATTCGGAGAATGCAAAATCTGAAGGATGATATCCCAAACTTTGCAATCGTTCAGGTGTGGATTAGCTCAGATGCCATTCCTTGTGGTCTGAGCTGGAGTATGTGTGCAGGCCACCTTATTCTTTGGAGGACAAGCTCTTCCTCTGTGCTTGGTGAATGGGCCATCTCAGTTTGACATCATAAGTAACACAAAATATGGTCTCCATTCCATTCAATTCCAAATCAATATTCATGTAAGTGATTGGTATGTGTGCATGTGTACCTACAGAGTAATTTCAGAGATGCAAGTTTCCAGGAAAACTGACCCAGCAGTTACTTTTGTCCATCTTTATTATCCAACATTATATTTATCTTATTTTCCTCAACTGGGACGATCTATTGGTGGCCAAATTAACTCAATCTAAGATGTGAAAGAATGTCTATCTTGGCTTCTTTGACTGTTTCTCAATTTTCAGAAAAGTCACACTTGTAATTATTAAGAAAACAAAAAGAGTTGTACAAAAATTGTGAAGTTTCGATATTAGATCTGTGCATTATTGTGATTCTCCATTAACATCAGATCTAATTTGTAAGATCCGTGTGATACGACGCGTTACAGAATGATGTATTTAACAGAGATGCAGTTTTCTTTAATTTTTTAATATTTATTTTCAATGGTATCAAAGATAATATATATGGGTATATGCCTTTAATTATTTAAATAAACAGATTCTTTTTTCCTTTTGTAAATAAATCTGTACAATACATAGGCCTCCTTGATGTTTTATATATATATGGGAATATTGAGCTCACATATCACTTCCCGAGTTCAACTTGCAGAACATGACACAAATACATGCTCAAAAAGTTCACGGGAATAGTCTTTGACCTTTTTACTCCATTAAGTATATGCCCCTTTCTGGTCATATTTCTTAGCTGTTGCTTAGTAACCAGTTCAAAAGTCTGAAATGCTGTAAAGATGACTCAAACAGGATTTTCTCCTACAATATCAACATGCTAGACAATGCAATGGCCCTGTATTCAGGAATTAATGTCCATTTACTGTAAATGGCAGTTATCTTCATTGATGTTTCCTCCTTTTGTCCATTTGGCAAGATGAAAATGGGTGTGAATCATCAGTCTAGACAAGCTCTTGGTGCTTCTGAGGATTCGTTGTTCTGTTGCACATATCTTATCAAGCAATTTTAGAACAAAGGCCACAGTCCAAAATAGGTCAGCTCAAACAGAACAGCAAACTACAGTATGATCCTAGCTGATCCATAGTTTGTTCACACTTGAGAGCCATTCAAGACATTACAGCATGCAAGGGAATGGGCAGAGAATAGAGAGTTCTGAAGCCTGCACTTGTCCAAGTATGTAACGCAAGACAAGAGGCATGTCTACACTGACCACTTAGGTCTATGTGACAATGGATCAGCCCCATAGAGCAGTGTTTCTCAACCTGGGGGTCGGGACCCTGTGGGGGGTCGCAAGAGGGTATCAGAGGGGTCACCAAAGATAATCAGAAAACACAGTATTTTCTGTTGGTCATGGGGGTTCTGTGTGGGAAGTTTGGCCCAATACTATGGTTGGTGGGGTTCAGAATACTCTTTGATTGTAGGTGAACTAGAAATCTCTGCAACTACAACTCCTAAATGTCAAGTCTATTTTCCCCAAACTCCACCAGTGCTCACATTTGGGCATATTGAGTGTTCGTGCCAAGTTTAGTCCAGACCCATCATTGATTGAGTCCACACTGCTCTCTGGAGATAGGTGAACTACAGCTCGCAACCTCAAGATCAATGCCCACCAGAACCTCCCAGTATTTTCTGTTGGTCATGGGAGTTCTGTGTGCCAAGTTTGGTTCAATTCCATTGCTGGTAGAGTTCAGAATTCTCTTTGATTGTAGGTTAACTATAAATCCCAGCAACTACAACTCCCAAATGACAAAATCAATCTTCCCCAACACCATATGGGGTATTTGGGCATATGGGGTATTTTTGCCAAATTTAGTCCAGTGAATAAAAATACATCCTGCATATCAGATATTTACATTACAAGCCATAACTGTAGCAAAATTACAGTTATGAAGTAACAATGAAAATAATGTTATGGCTGGGGGTCACCACAACACGAGGAACTGTATTAAGGGGTCGTAGCATTAGGAAGGTTGAGAAACACTGCCATAGAGGCTAAATGCCACATGGGGATGATCTGACAATTTAGGGGAAGGCAGACTTAACACAGCCTTTCCCCAAGTTAAGCTAAACCCTGCACTATGATATGGGTTCTCCCCTGTGTTAGGGGTTGTCAAGACAGCTAGGTTGGTTCCTAACCAGAACTGCTATTCTGTCTGATGTCAGTCAGGGCAACCAAACAAAAAGGTAAGTTGGGCTGTTGTGGGGTCCCAGAGGATACTGTTTAGTGGCACAGATGTCACAAAAATTTAATGTGCAGATTTTATAAATGTGGATTTAATATGATGTGTGGGAATGAATGGAAGAATGGAAGGATGTGTTGTTGTTCATTCGTTCAGTCGTCTCCGACTCTTCGTGACCTCATGGACCAGCCCACGACAGAGCTCCCTGTCGGCCGTTACCACCCCCAGCTCCTTCAAGGTCAGTCCAATGGAAGGATGTATTGATCTAATAATTTTGGAAGCACCAGTAAAATATTAAGGCCTGCAATGACTAACTACCTGCTTGCTGGACTGTGATTAAAACCTGCTAATAAGAGCTGAAGAGTAAACTCTGATAAGAATTGGGACAGTGATAACAGAAATGTTTACAATGTTAAGAAGGAAGTCAACATAAGATCAACAGCAATCAAGAAGATCAACATCTGGCCAGGAAACTGAGATGGAGCCAGGATGGAAGACATCTATCATTAATTTACAACTTTGGGATGGCATCAACAGAATATTCTTATAAAAGACTCAGTCTAAAAATGCTCAAAGTGTGACAGACAAAGATACTGTTCACCCGCTATGCTCTGCTCCACGGGAAGGAGAGAGATAATGTGCCTATGGAGAATGGCAGATTTGCACGGGAGCAGTCTGGTCACTTTGGGGCTTCTTTCTCAAGGGAAGATGAAGAAATGTGCTTTGGAGTCTTAGATTTTGTGCAGGGAGTCAGGTTCTGCTATATGGAAAAGAGATCTGGAAAGAGATCTGGTCCTTGGCACTGTTCTTAGGGGAAGAAGTTTTGAAGTTTTGGCATTATGGAACTATGCATTGGCAGGTTGCAGGAAAGCAGGGTCTGGCCTAAAAGGTGCTTCTCCAAGGAGGGAGAAAATGATATGGTAATATTTGGGTGCATGAGGATGAATGCATGTACATGTGTGTGAATGTTGAGTAAAAATGTGTTTCCCCTTTGTTTGTTTGTTAGCCATGTAATTGTAAATCCAATGTAGTTGCATAGAATCTGTATGTCTGTATGACAAATGTCATTCTTTGTCTAAATATTTTCTGTAATCTGATATACCCTCTCACACTGGAAATTGCAATAAAAAGAACCTATGCTTTAAATTCATTGAAAAGTCATTCATGACATAGATCAATGTTAGCTTTGGTTGAGCAGTCACAAATCCCTGATGTCTTCAAGGTCGCCATGAAGCAGACCTAATTTGGTGTCTTGGATGCCAGATTGGGACAATATTTGCGGTCAGTGAAGAAGGTTTCCATGTTACCATGTTTTGAACCAGCTTTCAGAATTCAATAAGCAAAACACAATTGTCTTCAATGGGCTCTAGTATAGAATTATGGCCCAAATATTTCTGGAGGGGGGGGCATGGCAAGGGACTGTAGGCTTCCATGATCCAGTGGGAGGATCAATGTGTTTTCTGAGCCTCTGACCTTATCACTCCAAGCTTTACCACTGATTAAAACGTTATTCCACCCATTTGTATCAGGCAACTAAAGCAATCTTCAGAAGACTGAACCAAAAAAGAAAGAGGACAAAATGCAATGCCTAGCTTCTTTCCTTTTTTGTATTATTAAGTTGTTTTTCACATCCATCCAATTTTCTGCATTTAAGGCTTATCCACTCTTAGGAGGAGAAATCTTCAAGACAGACAAAACATTTTCTGCATGTTTATACACAAGAATATAAAAGTAACCTTAACTGAAAATTATGTAGCCTTGGTAATATTGCCATGGAAACCAGAAACATATAGATTGGCAGTCATCCTGTGGGTGTTTTTTAAAAAAATTAAAGCCCTTGATTTAGTCTCTGCAAAGACTCATATAGTTTACAGGTTAGAATCATAGAAGTATTCATACATAAACTTTATCCCAAAAATATACATATGATAATTCATCCTTCTATGGTTTATATGAACAATGCTTACATTCATACATGTGTCTATATGTATACTTACGTATATGCATATGTGTGCACACACATGTTGATGAACTTTGATGCTACCTTGATCAGTGACCTCACTGAGGATGTGGTGTGAAAGGGCTTAACCCAGTTCAGAAAAGTAAAGGATGGTCCCTTACTGTCATGGATGATATGTGATACTATGACGCATAACCCGAGAATTTATGGTTTTGATTACAGGTTTTTGGTCATTGAATTCTTTCCGTCTGTTCCCTCTGCACACAAGAACACATTGCAAACAAGCAACAATTTGGGAAACACATATTCTTTGGATTATAACTCCCAGACTAGCTACCTGGTTGAGGAATTCTTTGGCGCAGTACTCCATTTTTTTTCCTGACATCAAGACACAAGCCCATTTTGTATGAATACACACATACTTTGCCTGAACTGATAATATTTTTCCATATACACATATAAATATATGGGCACACTTTTGCTTCACTCTTTGTGAGAGCACTTTACAAAATCTGCCAACACTGCAGTCCTTCATTGGCTGTGAGCTTCAAAAGATACGAAAGACACCAGTTTCCAAGTCTTTGGTGCTAAAACCTAATGTCACCGCTGTGGACACAGGATGGGCTTGATGCATCTTCCTTTGTGGTGGACTAAGTTTGCAGGACAGTGGCACCCTGCAACACATGGCTTACTGCAGGGGCCAATTTCATTCCAGTTGTCGCAGGTCTTCACGCATCCAGGACCACAGGTGTCATAAACTGCACCGTGTTTGCACTGAGTTGCTGGAAGACAAATCAAAGTATTACTGTGTGAAAATACTATATGTGGTTATTCATGGATTCCATCCCAATTATGACCAATTTAACATTTATTTCAATGGAACTTCTCTTCAGCAGCAAAATAATTCAGCTACAATTCGAAGTTTCTTCCAATGGATTAACCCTGTTTGTGCCACACCTACTCCAAATAAATCAGACTCCAATTGCATGGATAACCACACACTTCACGTGTCCAAATTCACTTGCACAAACCTATCAACCGAAAGCCATTATTGTTTGCCTATCAATCTTAACCATTCACCTTGTACTCTTCTTGGATTCCTCTCTCATTCAATCCTCTTTTTCCCTTCATGTCTCAGTGAGTGCCCAAAGGGAGGGAAAATTATACATTCCCTGACACAATTTTTAATATAATGTAACAAGTGGGAGGTGGGCAATGCTTATATCAGGAAGAGTCCCAAAGGAGTTTACCTTATGGTCATTTTTGTTGGGTGAATGTATATATGTAAGCAGATTTGCACCCAAGTAAGCAAGCAACAGAGTGACTGTGTGAGCAAGTATGAACACTCTCCTGATAGGAAGATTGAGGGGGGGGGGATGGGGTAAGTAAATCTTTTATCTTTTTCAAAAATGGAATCCTACACAAAGAAGATTTTCCCCACTTTACCGTTTTCCCCAGTTCCGTCTGATGAAGTCCATCAACATTTTAGTTCTGAAAGGGACATCTATATTTAGTTTCGTCTATTGTAAAAGCAGACCATAGCTATATGTTGGCTATATACGGCATGAATACATTCTTCTGTCTGTCCTGTACAGGCATGTAGCCGGGGGGGGGGGCTTGAGGGGCTTCAGCCCCCCCCCCCGAAATTCTCATGGTGGTCCGCGAGAAGGCCTTACTGCTACATTATTTAAACTGTTATGTTTATTCATATCATGATCTGATCACCATGCTCAATATATCCCATATGCATGGGGGTATTGGGGTAACGATACAAAAGGTTTGCTAGGGTAGACCCTCTTTCACTCAGACTCAGCCCCACCCCCCCCGAACCAAACTCAGCCCCCCCTGAATCAAATCCTGGCTACGGGCCTGGTCCTGTATGCATTACCAGTCAACTGCAGTAATAATATTGATATACTTTTGCTTCCCATTATTGGGACAACTTTTCTCACCACAGAAGCATCTAATCCAGCAGAACATTTCCACTGGTGGAATATATGAGCAAGTGGTTTTCAGCGATTCTCCATCTGTATTCCCCCTCGTCCCCCTAAAAATCTACTTGGGAGACTTGGAAGACCATGTGGAACAGCATGAGAGGTAGTGCTGAGGTTTATAGATGGAAAGGGGAAATCAACAACTGCCTCTCCATGCATATATGTATTCCCTGTGGGTAGTAAAATCCTTTTAATGTGACCCATAATCTGCACATGGCTCCCAAAATTGGTTGTTATTGTTTTTCTTAGAATGCCTCCAAATGCCACCAAATATTAGTTTGCTAAAGAACATAACATAATATCTGGGTCTCTTCCTGCTCTAAGAGTCCTCTTCTGTGCCTAAAATCGACAAACCCCTCCAAAAATCTCAAAAAATCCCTGTAATAGCCCAGATGTCTTCTAGAGGTGCTGATATGACCTTCTGCCCTCCAGTACTTCCCCATGTAAAAAAGAAAGTTAATTTAACGCAAACGATCTTCTGGTGGGGGGGACCCTTTATTCAGTCACCCCACCACCGCACACCAAAAATATAATGGATTATGCTTAGTAAGACTTAATTAGGGATGAACAGACAAATCCTCAATAGGCACAGAGGATTGAATTAGGCTACCACCAAAATTATAAGGATTAATTGAGATATAACTGGATTCTGCTGAAGCTGACTGGATTCGAGCACAGAGCACAGAGGGTATAACACACAGGTCTTCACAGTAGTTGCTGCTACCATATATTAGAACTCTCTTCCCCAGCCCTGTGTATGGGGATATGTTGTAAGAGAGGCAAACAGAGGCTTTGGCTTAATTCAACAAAGGAAGATGTTTATTTGTTTACTGTGAACAGGCATTGAATCTTGATGGTTGCAGTTTGGTTATAGATCTTAATGGTTCCTTTAAATGTTCAATACTTCAAAACTTCATGTTCCAAATAACCTTTCAAAATACCCAGGAAACTGTTAGTCTTTCACTAACTAGTTCCTATTCTCCAAACAGCTCTACTCCAGGGTCTGTACTACAATACCACTAACAAACTATATCTCTTCAACTGTTCACTGACTTTCCCTAACTGATTCTGGGCTTCAGCAATTCCAACTCTATCCTTCTACTCTCTCTCACCAACACTAACCGACTTTTCCCAACTGTCAGATTTCAAAAACCCACTAGACCAAGCCCCGCCCACTTTCCCAATCAAATGGCTTTCCACGTTTCCTCCAGGCTGCCTTCTAGCTCCGCCCCCTACTGGAAATGTTTTACCTAAAATGGCTGCCTCCTAGCACCAATACAAAACTGATGCCAAGCCACTGGGCCTATACTGAGCTAACACTGGTCTTGTAAGGTAGGACAGTTCATTACATCCCATATCTTATTCCAGGAGAAATTAAATCATGCTGAAATCACCAATTTGATCCATACAGAATTCTTAAATGTAAGAAATTCACAGAACTAAACTTGATGCACATACACTGTTCTGTGATATATACACCTAACCAGGCTCATAGCCAGGATTTTGATTCGGGGGGGGGGCTGAGTCTGAGTGAAAGAGGGTCTACCCTAGCAAACCTTTTGTATCATTACTCCAATACCTCCATGCATATGGGATATATTGAGCATGGTGATCAGATCATGATATGAATCAACATAACAGTTTAAATAATGTACCAGTAAGGCCTTATTGTGGACCACTATGAGAATTTCGGGGGGGGGGGCTCAAGCCCCCCCCCCTCCCCAGGCTACATGCCTGCACCTAACATAACATTAACTGGAAGTTCATCTAATAAGAGTTTAGGCCTTGGGAGAGAAGCTGCTTTTCCAAATTATGTCTCAGAAGTATGTCCCTCTGTTCCTTTTAAAGACCTGTAGATGGTACTATTTCATTGGCACTAGCCAGCTAAATGGACTGATTCCAAGAGCATAGCGATTCAAAGAGCTCCACTTCAGACATATATAAAGGCTGCTTCTTGAGCATGAACAGTGGAGTATCTCATTGCCAGCCACAGGATGAGCCACAGGGAAATGTTTTTTAAACCTTAATGGACAAGGCGGTATATGGAAGATGGGGCACTGAGATTAGTATGTAACTCACAAACTCCTCTAAAAGTTATTCATTGCCCTTTTGCGGAGGTCAAGGTTAAGAAAATGTCTTTATTTCCCATTTAAATTCACCTACTCTCTTCTTATTTCCAGCTATTTCTAAAAACCACCGCTCAATTGTATAATCACTACTTTCTATCATTTGATTTCACATCTAATTCATTAATCCTTCCAACATTAAACAAATCTTGTTTTTTTAATAGATAACCTTTCTTTTTATGTCAGTTTTTCAAGTCCTTTTATTTATTTTATTTAAATAACTTTCAGTCTCTTAAAATGGAATTACGCTGTGAGATGTGCAAATCAGATTAGTGGTCCCTTGCTCCTTCGCAGTCTGCTTATCGTGGACTCATGGTTTCGTGCGTTTTTTAATTTTTAAAAAAGAATTTCGTCCTCCTTATCTTCCTCATCCTTCTCTTCACAGCCTGGGGCCTCTTGCTGCTGCTTGGGCTCCATACGGCATTGCAGCAAGAGACCCAGGCGGCAAAGAGGAGGAGGATGAAGAAGATAAGGAGGCGAGGGGAGAAGAAGAGCCACCTCCTTGCCCTCCTTACCTTCCTCTTCTTCCTCCTCTTCGCTGCATAGGGCCTCTTGCTACAGCTTGGGCCCCGTGTCTGAGGAGGCATCACGGGGCCCAAGAGGCCCCATGCGACGAGGAGGAGAAAGAGGAAGGAAAAAAAGACGAGGAGGGAAGGTGAGGGGACATCCCTACATCGTGGAATTTCACTTATCGGGTGGTCCAGGAATGTAACACGTGCAATAAGTGACGGACCACTGTACTTTAAACTTCCTAAACTTTTCCACTCAGGAGTTTTTTGGACCAAGACATTTATGCAAACCTGAACATATATAAAATAGGTATAAAAAACAAATATTAATTTATAACAAATTAGCATTTGCATGGCTCGCTAAACAGACTGATTTTCCTTATTATGAAGCACAGCTGAAGCATCTTCTGCACTGTAAACACTGCACAACTGGTTCATGTAAATGTCTAAATCAGCCACTAGATGATTATACAACAACATTGAGTTATACAACAATTTGCTATGTAGAAGCCCTATTCCATTTTTGTCTGGCTACTCTTTTGATTGCATATGTTAGTACGATCTTACAAAGTCAATACCATATAATGCAAGGGGGCACTTTATTCCTCTTGTAATTTATTAAATTCACCTTCTGGCACTTTGCTGTTGGAGACAAAGGTCAATAAACCAGAAAGAGGGAAAAGAGCAAGAGAGAAAAATGAATTCCATTAATGTTATCTAACACTAGAATCACACTTGGAACCACTTTACTCATATTGTTCTTCTCCATTATAAAAGATGATCACAACTTTCAGGGCAAATGACCAACTATTTTTAGCTCCTGTCATTCACCCTTATCTGCTAATGCATCTTCCACTTAAGAAGAAGTTAAAAGGGCTTCGTGTCACATATAATTAGTGATATGGGCCTCTAAGTAATAATTTCTTGGAGAAGCAAACAATATTGTGTCTGTAATCTTTCTCAATAAGCATAAACCCTTTCTAGCAAGTGCCTAGGTTACAACCCCATGAGAAAGTCACATGCAGGAATAAAGCCATCAACAAGAAAAACAATTATGTTTAGTAGTGTATCCTACTATGGAGACATAAGGCAATTATTTAGTATACAAGTCACCAGTTGTAATTAAGGACAGCATATCTGGATGTTCTGAAAAACAGCAATCCAGGATACAAATCAGAAAATAGATGTTCAGAGATGACGTGGACTGTGGTAGCCAGGTGCAAGTGTAGTTGGGACTCCTATCCTTTAGTGCAGGGGTCCCCAAACTAAGGCCCGGGGGCCGGACACGGCCCTCCAAGGTCATTTACCTGGCCCTTGCTCAGGATCAACCTACTTTTGAAATGACTTGAAAGCACACAACAACAACAACAATCCTATCTCATCAGCCAAAAGCAGGCCCACACTTCCCATTGAAATACTAATAAGTTTATATTTGTTAAAATTGTTCTTCATTTTAATTACTGTATTGTTTTAAAGTGTTGTGGGTTTTTTTGCACTACAAATAAGATATGTGCAGTGTGCATAGGAATTCATTCATGTTTTTTTCAAATTATAATCCGTCCCTCCAACACTTTGAGGGACTGTGACCTGGCCCTTTGTTTAAAAAGTTTGAGGGCCCCTGCTTTAGTGGGTAGGTAGAACACGGGATCGAGGCAGACACAACTGAACTATTTAGCATATAGTTAATTTATGATTACTCCTTTTGCAAGTGAGAAATCAGATATGGAATGACAGCACAGGTTTTAACTATAACAAGGGGGCATTACAATCAATGAGATTCTAATTCACCATCAAATGTAATGCGCATCTCCATTCTGGTTAAGCAATTAAGCCAAAAGAAAATGCACATTACATTTGAGTAAATACAGTACTTTGCTTCCTGATTGAGAAAGAATCAGGAAGTAAATGGCAGGAAGCTCAAGGTAAGTGGAGATGTCCTTCTTTTGAAAGAGGTGGGGATGGGAAATTGTGCCCATGCCCAGCCCTGCTGAACCAGCTTTGGCATAGCTGAGCTGTATGGATGGTCTCCCGTTATGGAGCCTTTTTAGGGCACCATTGTCACTCGGAATTCACATTTTTTTAATGTGTGGCTTGTCTATATCATGAGCAGTAGATTTTCCCAACTGCACTAGACCCAACTAAAATGCTGGCCAAGATCCTGCATTGAGAGACAAACACTTGTATGCTTTTTCCAAAGCATCTCTTGTAAGCAACACAGCCCTTCCATCAACATGGGCGTTATCATATTATCAGAGAGCAGGGGAGTAACAGAGATGCATCCAGCTATTTTCTTATAGCGGGACTCCTTGTGACAGGCATCAGTAGAAATCTCTGTGTACGAACCCACACGATCTCTTCGTTCATCTGGAGAGGCCCTACTCATGATCTCACCTGCATCACAAGCGCAATTGGYGGGGACGAGGGACAGGGCTTTCTCGGTGGTGGCCCCTCRACTCTGGAATTCTCTCTCTAAGGACATCAGGCAGGCCCCATCACTAGCAATCTTTAGGAGGAGCTTGAAAACGTGGTTGTTCCAGTGTGCCTTTCCAGAATAAGGAATCTCCTAGCACTATGTCCCAACGCACTTTATCAGAGATTCAGGATATTTGCATGCCCATCCCCCTCCAAACACCCCACTTTGTCATGCCRAGCACTTTTTAATCTTAATTGTTACAATTGGCCCGGCCATTGTTTTTAATTGCGTCATTGGGTGTTGTTAATTGTTATTGCTTTGTTTTTCTCTGAGTTATTGTGTTGTTGTTGTTGCTGCTGTTTTATTGTTGTACTTGGGCTCGGCCTCTTGTAAGCCGCACCGAGTCCTTCGGGAGATGGTAGTGGGGTACAAATAAAGGTTTATTATTATTATTATTATTATTATTATTATTATTATTATTATTATTATCTCTAGGGAACCTCAAGAGATCCCTAGTGGCAATCTCTTTGCATTGCATCCAGTGACAGGAAAACAACTGGATGCATCACTGCTGATCCTCCTTTTCCCTGACAAAATGGAAATGGCCAATAGAGGGGCTGCACTTCTCATATGGCAGGGTTTCAAAGGGAGGTTTTACATGGTCAGTCTGAATTGCACCATCATAGTTCACTGATAGAATGGCAGATGTTTTTGGACCAGGTCTAAAAGCCGTATTGGCACAGTAAATCCAACGCCCATTCCAGAAATGTGTTCAGTGAGATAGGTTAGGTTAAGAGAGGGTAACTGGCCAAAGATCATTTAGTGTGTTTCATGACTGAGTGGTGACTTGAACCTAGATCTTCCAAATGCCAATCCAATACTGCCATAACCATGCCACATTTTTTAAAAAAATAGCCCATTTCTTGGCAATATTGTAAGAAAACAGCAATATTTTGTGTAAATAGAATTCTGCCAGGCTGAAGAGTGGAAACCTCCTGCTTCCCAAGTCCATTCTCTTTAGCCTCCCATTGAGAGACTAAGGAAAGGGGACTCCTGATTGAGAAAGAATCAGAAAGTAAATGGCAGGGAACTCAAGGTGAGTAGGGGTTTCCTTCTTTTGGGGGGTAGAGGTGGGGAGAATGGGAAGGCACTGCCCCCCCCCCCCACCTCCTCGGGCTGCTTGAGCCCTGGGAATGCAGAATGATTGTGGGGATGCAATCTTTGATCACCCATAAGGATCCAAAATGGCAATACCCATAGTCCCAAAACTGGGAAAAGGTGCAAATATTTCTGGAAAATCTGTACTTTCCCCAGTATTTTAAAACCTGGGATCAAGCCGGATTAAAAGGCTCACCCTGGATTGAAAGTATTTGTGTGTGTGTGTGTGTGTTTTATTTGGATGCCCCAGGCTAATGCGAGTTCTACACTAGATTAAATACCAATGTAAAAGCAGCCTATGTTGCAGGCACTAAGGCATTTCTAGAAAAGTGAAAGAGCAACATCTCTGCTGCTTCTTCACTCTACTTCTCGCAATGATAGTAGTTAAGACACAGAACAGAATTGAATACATCTGTTCCATGCTTCTCCAAAAGTGTTCAGATTAGAATAAACTTGGTTCCCTTGTCCCGCACCTCCTAACTGCAAGCACTTGGTCTTAAATGATTGGGAATTGGCAGGGCTCCTCAGCTTAATGAGTAAAATAGATGGAAATCAGCTGTGGTAGCACCACTCCTCTTTCCTTTTTCCTTCCTATGAAGGCAGATCTATTACAGCTGTGCATCCACATGAACTAAACCTAGTGCAGGAAATGTTAGTAATCAGATGGACTGTTTCAGAAGGAGAGCTCTGTGATCCTTCCAGTAGCCACCCAACAAGCTTAAACAAGCAGAATAGGTATGTGACACAGTTTTACAATGGGCTTGTTAGCATAAAGTTGCTGGATTTTCACTTGCTTCCTGTGTTCTCTCTAACACAGAGAACACAAACTGGATGGTCATTGAATTTTGGCACCTGGTAACCATTTATTGATCTGTGCTGTGTCTTTTTTTTTTTTGTCTTACTGGCATTACAGCACTGTAATAAAGTTGAATGCTGGATTATGAATTCAGGGTAGAACTATATTGCATGCATATGCCAAACTGCTATTTTTCCTAAGGAAAAGCAGCTGTGGGAGGGGCTGCTTCACCCATTCCCTGGTCACCACTTCCTTTCCAAAACCAATCTTTTAAGCTACAAGATTGTATTTCCAAGGAAAGGAAAGCACCCAGGGGTGGGGGGATATGAAACAGGGCAAAAAGAAAGAGCAGCTATCTGGATTTTGTTATGCGTGTTACCGCACCAGCCATAGTTGTCAAGAAGTAATCAGCATTTCCACTTACCAGCACAATTCTGTTCAGGTTTCCAGTGGATTTTCAGACCTTCCCTCTGGCAGGCTCGAGCATAGGCTAAGAAGGATTCACAGTAGCAGTTCTTATGAACTGGGCACTCACACATGTCTGTCACACAGGACCTGCAGGGAACATCCCAACCAATGAGGAGAGAATAATTTTGGAAATATTAGAGCAAGTCTTTCCAAACGTTTCATGTTAGTGACACACTTTTTTTACATGCATCATTTTTGACCCAGTAATTCAGTTTTACTATCAAACCAGACAGAACCTTCATGCAACCCATGTACACACTGCAGCTGACATACTAACATGTTGTGACATGCAGTCTTTTTTTCCCCATCATAAAGCCTCATGCGCCCTACCAATCAGCTGTTGGGTACTATGGGGATCTGGGGATGATGTGACATAAGCTCAGTAGATGGAGTAGGAACATCTGAGAAATGCCCTAACTTTAACTTCTTCAAGGATCCTAGAGGCACATGAACTCCTACAGACATATATACACACAACTGGAAATGCCTGTACACTCATTTATGGTTTTATTAAATGTTTAATTGTTAGTTAAACAGTAGACATGGTTAGGTTCAGTCGGAATCTTCGTAATTCGGAATAAATTTAGAAGGATTTGCTTTTTCAAGCGATTTCGAAGTTTTTAAGGAAACAGGAAGTCTCTTTGCCCTTCTGATGCCTTTTCTGCCATTTCTGTTACGAAGCTGTAAGTGAGTCGGAAATGATTCAGCGTTTCCCCGCTTCTGGTCCCTGGCCTTGGCTCAAGCCTGGGAAGCGTTTTAAAACCCAGTGGATGATTTTCCTCCCTCTCGTCTCCCCTCGCGAGCCTGGGAAGCGTTTTAAAACCCAGAGGATGACTTTCCTCCCCCTTGTCTCCCCTTGCAAACCTGGGAAGTGTTTTAAAACCCAGTGGATGACTTTCCTCCCATCAGCCTAACCACCTCATCACATTGAGAGAGGAAACCATGGGTGACTGTCTCTTTAAGGGAGAGAATCACCCTGTTTGGAGTTCTGCCTCCCTATTAGACTCACACTGGAAACTTAAGAGCTGGCAATATATTCATCTTTTACATTAATCACAAGGTCAGTATTATTTTTTAAATCAGAAGAAACGAGATTGGAAAACCAAGAGATCCACTGCCCTGCCCTTCTTAAAGTCCCTTACATTAAAGGAGACTGTCACCAGTCTTCACCAAACACTATAGGGCAGTGCTTCTTAACCTGTGGGTCCCCAGATGTTTGACCTTCTATTCCCAGAAATCCTTAGCTGGTAACCTGGCTGAAATTTCTGGGAGTTGTAGGCCAAAACACCTGCGGACCCACAGGTTGAGAACCACTGCCATAGGGTACAAGAGACAGTGTTCCAAGTTATAACCATTGTCTTCCATGGGTTCCTGTTGATTTTCATAGAACCTCAGAGGATACAAGAGACAGTGAGCCAGGTTCAAACCATTGCTTTCCATGAGATCCTATTGGTCTGCATCAAACTCCAGGGGATACAAGAGACAGTGAACCAGGTTAAAACCACTGCTTTCCATGGGATCCTATTAATCCACATTGAAACCCATAATATACAAGAGACTGCTGATGGTTGGGCAATGAAACAGGATGAAGAAACTTTGATGGTTCCCATCCCACCTGTTTTTCAGTTGTAAACATGTGAGTAAAGCACAAGAAGAGGTAGGTGCCCTGAACATGATTGCTGGTCTGTGTTCGGAGTTCCTTACTTTCAGGACATTTTTACAACCCTGGAACATGTGATGACTTCAGTGTCTCTCCATGTTAGAAAAGAGGCTGAAGTGTTCTACCAGGGGGAAATTTCTCAATGTGATGAGGTCGGATTGCCAGAGTTCCCTCCTTTCAGAACATTTTAGTCTCTTTTCAACCATGGAGGGCTATGCATGAGGGCCAGAAATAGTTTAACTCATGGGATGAGCTCAGTGTCCCTCTATGCTTGAAAAGGCTGAAGTGTATTTTGTTGTTCATTCGTTCAGTCGCTTCCGACTCTTTGTGACCTCATGAACCAGCCCACGCCAGAGCTCCCTGTCAGCCGTCATCACACCCAGCTTCTTCAAGGTCAAGCTGGTCACTTCAAGGATGCCATCCATCCATCTTGCCCTTGGTCGGCCCCTCTTCCTTTCTCCTTCCATTTTCTCCAGCATAATTGTCTTCTCTAAACTTTCCTGTCTTCTCATTATGTGGCCAAAATACTTCCTCTTTGCCTCTAATGTGAAGTGAAGTAGTTGAAGTGTCCTACAACTGGGAAATTTCTCCATGTGATAAGGCGGTAAACGAGCCCTACCAGAGCAGAGGAAGGACATATGTTTCAGTTTCACATCCTGAGAACCGGAAGTTGATTCTGCTTTATTCTGACAGCTAGTTCCATCATAAGCTATCATCACAATTTTGTTATGTAAAGGAAATTAAACAAGGATACAACTTTTCATTGCTTTTCCAAGCATTTTAAAAGCAAACTTTGATTTCTGTACAAAGAAAACATGCAGACACTAGCTCCCTCTGGTGTTCAAATTCCAAAATGTCAGACAATGTGGTTTTCTCGACATATCTTCGATTACTATGGCATTGGCAAGCCACCTCTGAATATTCTTTGCCTTAACGAAAATCCCTATAATATTCATACAGCTGTCATAAACCAACAGCAGCTTGAAGGCACCTACATACACAAATGTGTTTTTTAGAACAGTAGTTCTCACCAGTTTGAAACAGAAGTAGTCTAGGTGGAGCATAGTTTTATAGCTGCTGTGCCAGTAAAAAGTATTCTCAATAGTATAAGATGTGTTAGATATGTTAAATCTTGTCTAGAGACTAGAACTGACTTCAGCCTGTTTGGTTGCTCCATATTATGTCATCTTTTTATAAGGTTTTAGACAGCTATTGTTCTTATTTGTTTTATCTAGTGTGAATTCATATTAAGTGTTATATTTGTATAGATTATTTAAGTTTCCTATATTTGGATAATTTGTCTATTATTAAGTTTAAAGTTAGGTTATTTTTATCTTCCTTCATGTGGTCTGTCCTGATGTAATTTGTCTGTATGCCTTTTCCTTTTTGCCGTGGAATGTTTGCCATACATGTTGGAAACCACCCTGAATTCCTTTGGGGAGACAGGGTGGTCTATAAATAAGTTGTTGTTTTTGTTGTTGTTTATGAATAATTAATGGAATTATTAGTTGGTTTATGTATACTCCACCAAGTACTACAGACATTTTATGTAGCTTGAAACTTACAACAGATGTAATAACAGAATGCCTGTACACATAAATGTCATTCTTAGAATGGCTTATTTTCTGTCATGGCGAGACTAATATTGATCAGAAGAATGAATAGTGGGACATGAGATATGAAAGGCCAAGAATGACTTTTCTAGAAAGATAACACTGTAGTATATAGGACAAATATTGGCAGCTATTCGCAACGTGAATAGCTGCCAATATTTGTCCTATATACTACAAACTATCATACTTATGCCTATTTTCCGCATGCACAGAGGACGAGAATGTATGTGTTTCCAAGTGCGTGTCAGTTCACCACATACTACAATCCATACTATGTTTCCTTACTTGTCTTGCACACAATTTCATTGTCCATAAAGTAGAAGACGCAACAAGGAGACCCAGCTTTTTGGACCCAACATTGATGACCCAGTTAATGATGTGGAAGTGATGGGATCCTTAAGTGTGAATGGCCATCTTCTCCCAGAGTATGTTATACAGCATAGTCGGGCATACATTGTAGAAGTCAAGAAAGTTGATTTCAGTAAACTTAGGGAAATACTAGGCATGATCCTGTGGTCAGGAATACTAAGATAGAAGAGGGTTCATGATGGATGGGAGTTTCTTAAAAGTTAGGCACTGAAGGCACAATTTCAATAAGTTTCAACATGGAGGAAAAATGGAATTTGTCTAGAGAAACCAGGATGGATGACTACAGAACATTCAATTGGGGTGAGATTTAAAGGGTATGTGTACAAGAAATGGAAAAGGGAGAAATTGCCAAAGAGGATTCCTAATGAAAAGTCAGCATGTGTAGAGAAAATGTCAGAAAAGCTAAAGTTCAGGAGAAGCTCAAGCTTGCTAGAGAGATTAAAAATAATAAAAACAGCTTTTTTATTATATCTGTAGCAAAAAAACAAACAAACAGCCACTGCTTGGAGGGTATGACAAATTAGTAATAATAATAAAAACAACAATAACATCACGATTGTGGAAAAGAAAAAAGTCTGGATTATTCATGTCACCATACCAGGTGACAGTCACACTGAAGAAAAACAACAGGAAAAACTCAGCCGCTATCAAGACCTCAAAAACGAACTGCAAAGGCTCTGGCATAAACAAGTACAGGCCAAAAGATCTCAGCCAGCATTTGGAAACAATAAACATCGACAAAATCACGATCTGTCAACTGCAAAAGGCCAGCTTACTTGGATCTGCGAGCATCATTCAAAAATACATCACACAGTCCTAGATGCTTGGGAAGTGTTCGACTTTGATTTTGTGATAAAAAAATCCAGCATATAGATCTAGTTTGTTGTGACATACTGTGCTTTTGTGTCAATAATAATAATAACAATAATAATAATAATAATAATACTTTATTTATATTCTGCTCTATCTCCCAAAGGGACTAAGTGTGGATTCCAAACATAAAAGGCAAACATTCAATGCGCAAATACAACAACAATACATCCATGCTAACAAAATTTATACAACCCAACATATAAATACGAAGTATAGCTTAACAAGCTAAAATTAAACAGGGCGCAAAGAAAAGGCAGAGATACCCGACCTATCTTTTGCTTCAGTCTTCTCCCATAGGGAAAACAGTGCTTAACCTAGGAAACATGGAGCAGATGTATTTCTTTGATAGAGTCATGAGCTTAATAGATTAAAGTTCATGCAGAAAACCTTGATTCAAGAAGGACTTCAACAAGGTCCCTCATTATATTCTTGCAAATAAACTCATAAAATATGGACTAGAGATAATGCTACTGTTATGTGGATGTGTAATTAATTGAGTGACCATATCTAAAGAGTGTTCACAAATGGCTCCTCTTCATCCTAGAGAGAAGTGACTAGTATGATGCTGTAGG